CGCGGCGCGGCCGGGACTGGGCGGCTTCCTCCTGCGCGGGCGGGCGTGTCTGAAGCACACCCAGGCCGCGCGCCGCCCGCTCGCACACAAAGCGCCTGCCTCCTGACGTGGGCGCCGCCTGCCCGGGGACACGGCCTCCCCCGAGCCCGTTCCCCGCGGGAACCTCTCCAGCCTGTACCTTCTGCGTGGCACGGCCAGGATGCGGCGCCGTGCCCGCTCCTCCCCCTCGGCCACCCAAACGAGAAGCCCCGGCAGATCCGGCCCTGGAGTGCAGCCCCGCGCGGTCCTGCCTGGTGGCTGCGTGCTATTGTCGACTGTGGAATGGCCGCCAAAACCCCAGCTGTGCTGCCAGAACCTAATCCCCTGTTACGCCAGTATTTGTGGGGAGGGGCCGAGGGGCCAAGGCACGGGACTGAGTTCAGCAGGCACTGGCTGGAGCCCTTCACAGGCACAGGCACTGGGACCCATCGGCTGAGTCTGAAAGCTCTGCCTCCCCTACAGGGCCGAAAGAAAAGATGTCTGACTCTGCGAAGACAAAACCACAGCATTTCCACCCACTGAGAAGCGACCTTCGGGAGGCTATTGGAGAAGCCCATCAGCTACTTCAAAAGGACCCTGTCTTATTATACCACAAACTTTTACTGAGCACCTACTATGTGCAAAGCACTGCTACAGAACATTGAAGAGAATATCTAAAGATACACTTAACCCAGCATCTGCACTAAGATAGTTTGTAATTCAGTAAGAAATTGAAAATAGACTAAAAAATTATATTTAGGAGTACGTACTAACTTATACAAAAGATATAAAAAATTCTAAGCCATGCAGAGTAGGGTAGAGTTGAGAAAATGAAGTGAAATTTTAATGTGGATCTTAAAGCACATAGGTGGAAAGGAAGAAAGAGTGGGGAGACAAAGCAGAAGAGTATGAAAGTAGTGGAAGCACAGACCCAAAGGAGAGGTGAGGTCAGTTTCAGAAAATCTTGAACTTCGCAGCCAAGGAATCAAATAAGGTTTAAAGTTTATTTAGCTGTTTGTTTTTAACACGGGCTGCAATGTGAGAACTGTGCTCCAGGTTTATTTTGGCATAGAAATGAATGAAACTAGCAGCAAAGAGGCGAGGCAGGAGATCGTCCCAACAGACAAGATAGGTAAGGACAGAGTAGGAGAGGTAAGAGAATGCAAAGAAGGGGAATGCAGGCCCTGAGATCGATAAAGAACTGATAGAAAGCAAGGGGGGCTGGGCACTATTGTGCATGCCTGTAATTCCAGCTACTGGAAAGGCTGAGACAGGAGGATTTCAAATTCAAGACCCTGTCTCAAAATTATAAATAAACCAGGCATGGCAGCTCTTGCCATAATCTCAGCATGTGGGAGGCCAAGACAGGAAGACTACTGCAAGTGTGTGGCCAGCCTGGGCTATACAATGAGTTCAAAGCTACCCTGTCTCAAAAAACAAAGACAAAAACAAACTAAAAGGACAGATTTTAATGCAAGCCCCGGGGTTTAATCCCAGTATCACAAAAAGCAAAGGAAAAGGAAAAGAAAGCAAGCAGCTGAAAGAACTGTACAAGGGAGGCAAGTGTGAGGGAAAACATACAGAATCAATCTGCGGAGACGAGGGTCAGAACAAGAGTGAAAAATGGCAAAACCAGTAGCAGCTAATGCTTACTGTGCTCCAGATGTCCCTGACTGTCTTACTGACCTAATGTGCATAAATTCGTAAGCTTAAACACCCGTTAACGAAGCACGTGTTACCACCCAAGTACAGAGAAGATGAGGACACTGAGCCACAGAGATTAAATAATTTCCCCAAGATCTGCAACTAGTACATGGCTGAACTCTCTACCACTTGCTAACTATGTGACTCTGGCAAATAATCTGAGTCTGAAGTGTCCCTATTGTACAGTAAGGATAAGGACATCTCTGCTATAAAATGATGATTAATTCACTAACATCTACAAGGTGCCAGCACCCTTGCTAGCACAAAGCCCGCAGAGGGTGCTTCACAAAGGTTAGCTCCTACGTGGTATTTTGGTTTCTTGTTACCAAAATGTTACAACCTAGGTTTGCTCATCATCTGTAGGAAAAGCTGGACAGGCCGGCGGCTCCTCTTGGGGCAGAGGACTAAGTCCTCAGGATGCCTGCCGTCTGCCCAGCCGTCTGCTTTTTAGATTTTACTTCAGAGGCCAGCTCAAATCCCAGTTCCTCCAATACAGAACTGGGTCATCTTGAGGAATAAGTTAGACTGTGGGGGACAACCACTCAGAAACTTTCGATGCTATATGTTTATTACCTGTTTGAAGTTATTTTTCATTACCGTGTGTATTACATTGGGGGATTGCAAAAATGATCTACATTCTGGATTTGGCACTTGTAATGCTTGTATGTATGTGCATGAAAGTCTTATCTTTGTATCTAGAATGTAAATTCCTTAAGGGTGTAACCCAGTTTTCTCTCTCTCTCTGTCTCTCATCTGCCATAATACCTAGGACAATACAGCTGCTTAAATCTATACTACTAGTCTGGGTGTAGTGGCGCACGCCTATAATCCCAGCACTTGGGAGGCTGAGACAGGAGGATCGTAGTGAGTTTGAGGCACGCCTGGGCTACATAGTGAGTTCAAGGCCAGCATGAACTACATAGTGAGACCCTATCTTAAAATAAAAAAAAAAAAAAAGAAAAGAAAAAAAATCTGTACTACTGAACTACATCTGAATGACAGGTTTCCAAATCCAACCTTTTGGCCACCAGAGAATGACTGGTATGTGGTGAGGATGAAGAGGAAGTCAAATCAAGGCACACTGCTGCAGGGACTTCCCATAACCCTTTTCCTCCCAGGCCCTGGGGCTGTTCCCACATTACTGTCGGCAACCTGTAGTCAGCAATCATAACTAATAGAAAGGAAATTTTTTACTCAAAGAAGCACCACAAAAGCAAACGCAAAGCAAATGCCAAAATGTTTATAGAAAGGCAGTGTGGTAAACATTACTTAAAGACTGGCACCATCAACACTCCAGAAAGTCCCTGGGTGAAAACAGAAGGCCAGCCTGCTAACACCACTCTGGCCACATCTGGAACTGTATCAGCCCTGCCTGAAGCTTGAGAGTCTGCAGAGAATGGATACTGTCTCAAAGTGAGAGGACTCCCCACCCTAGACTGTGCTCTGAACCCAGAGCAACAGAGAGGCTGAATGGTGCTCTGGAAGCTCTCTTCCAACTGGCCCAGCTTCTCCAGCCTCCCTCTCGTCTCCCCTTCCTGTGGCTGGCAGAACGGCCCCAGCCTCTCCGCCTCACCATGGAGTAGGCAGACCACAGGGCTCTTGCCTGATTCCACATGCCTCCCCTCACCATCCCCTGAAATGGAGTAGGAACAAGAGAAGAGAAAAAGCAAAGCACAAAGCAAGGAAGCAAGGAAGGAAGAAAAATGGCTAACAAAATTCCAGCAAGTGTTCAGACAAAAGTTGGAGAGGGCAATATTCAGTTAAGAGCCCAGTGATATTTAAAGGGCTTAGTAATATTCCATCTTCTGAGCTGAATGGTAGGTGTATGAGTATTCATTTTATTATTTGCTTAAAACATCAATATTATGTTCTTAATGAAAAATGTTACCATTTATTTTACAGTTTAAACAAAAAGAGAGAAGGAGTAATTCACTTGAGACTGGGCCCTAGCTGTACCTTGTAGAGTCATTTATGCCCCTATCCACACTGACGCCTGCCAGGCAGGTCTATAAGGCTACATACCGTCCTGGCTCTGTACAAGAACTAGGTGGGGTGGTGCACTCCTATAACCCCAGCACTAGGGAGGCTGAGGCAGAACAATCATTGAGAGTTCAAGGTCGGCCTAAACTGCACAGTGAGACCCTGTTTCAAAAAAACCACCAAAAAAGCTGGATATGGTGGTGCATGCCGGTAATTCCACCACTCAGGAGGCTGAGGCAGGAGGATCGCCATGAGTTTGAGGCTAGCCTGGTCTACATAGTGAACTCAAGGCTGGCCTGGCCTACAAAGAGACCTTGTTTCAAAAAACCAAAGCAGGGCTGGCTTTAGCCTAGCGGTTCCTTCTGGATGCCTACCTAATCAAAAACCCAAAACAAAAACCCACCAAAAATACAATAGATAAGAAAAAGGGAGTTAGACTTTCTGAAGATAGAAAAGGGGAGCGGATCAGAGAAAGTAAGAGGAGATGGAAGTGTCAAAAATGATCAAGACCAAAAAAAAAAAAAAAAAAAAAAAACCCCAAACAAACAAGACATAATATATATACATATTAATTCTGGAAAACAAGTATCCCAAACACATACTAATTTTTAAAAAGATGGCTGTATAAAGGACAGGCCCTGGAACAGACCATGCTGGGCTCAAACTGTCTCTGACCTTAGGCAAGTTATCTAATCTTTCTAATTCTCAGTTTCCTTTTTTGTAAAATGGGGATAATCATAGTATTTACCTCAATGGGTTATTGTGAGAATTTAAAAAACTAAAGCTTGGGAGGTGTTTAGCACAGTGCCTGGTACACAGGAAGTGCTCATTAAATGTTAGCTATTAATTACAAGAGCACAGCAACAACAGTAATGATAGTCTGTAGGTATTTATTGTCAGGACATCAAGTGGCAGAGAAAAGACGAGAAGGCATTGCATAAGGCTGTTTTAAAGATGAGGAAATTTGAGGCCCAGGAATTAAGTGACTTATTTACATGAGTTAGTCATGTAAGCAGTGAGCTCTCTACCACGTCTCTACATTATTTTCTATCGCTCGAGAAGACAATCATTGAACAAATAAAAGCTAGCACATTCTCAGCAGCTCAAGCCTTACAGTACTTCTTCCTCCTCATAACATCATCTCTTTAATCAACATAAATAAACAGCTCTAATTCAAAAGTTATCATGAAAGAACTGTTTTCAGCCAGGCATGCTGGCACATGTCTGTAATCCCAGCTCCAGAGAGGCTGAGGCAGGAGGATTACAAGTTTGATTTCAGCCTGAACAACTTAGTGATTTAGCAAGATACTGTTGTAAAATATAGAAAAGGGGGCTGAGGATGTATCTCAGTGTACCAGTTCAATCCCTACTACTGCCAAAAAAAAAACAAACCTAAGGATGAAAAGAGTTTTGCAAACATTAGAGGACCAAAACTCCTCTAAAGCAGCAAATACAAAAAGAACCCTCTTATAGGAGTGATGGTGGAATGTTCAAGGATGACGGGAGAGGCTGAAAGGAAATACCACTTTTGGCTGGAGGGAAGCCTCCTATTTCAGAAGCTGGGCCTCCAGTTTATTTATCAGGGGAGGCCTCATTCTCCCTCCCCAGAGGGTAGTGGCTAGTTAATGAGTCAGTGTTGGTAAGCCTGAATGTGCCTGGGAAGAAGAGCAGAGAGCAAATCAGAACCCAGAGAGGATTCTTTAGAATATTCAAGCCGAGCATGGTGGTGTACACCTGTAATCCCAGCACTCAGGAGGCTGAGGCGGGAGGATCATCGCGAGTTCAAGACCAGCCTGGGCTACAAAGGGAGCTCAAGGCCAACCTGAACTGCACAGACCCTGTCTCAAACTGTGCTCCCCCAAATAAAGAACATTCAAGAGCCCCACTCAGTTCTCCCTCAAGAAGGCCTTACTGGGCCAGGTGTGGTGGTGCAGGCCTGTAATCCTAGCACTGAGGAGCCTCAGGCAGGAGGCTCATCACGAAGTTTGAAGCCAGTCTGAATTACATAGTGTGACTCTAAATTAATTAATTAATTAATTCACCCTGTTTCATTGTCAGTGGAGTAAAATGGCTGTTTCTACATGCAATATATCTGGCACCATGTTTGCTCACAAACACAGAACTGATGATACAAAGACAAATGTGTAACTACAGACTGCCTCAGTAGCGGTAGAAAACACACTACCAGCTGACAGTGAAAGCCCCTGGAGGTAAGTTCTGGAGCTAGTCACTTGCTAGCTATGTGCCTCAGAGCAAGTCACTTGCCCTAGCTTCGGTCTCAGTAAAGAAGGGGATTGGCTTAGATCCTATCTAAAGTAACTTTCTACCTCCAAAAGTTTTCATGATGCTTTGCACAGGATACCATTAACAACAAATAATCTTTTCAGGGAGGAGGGTACTAAGATTGAACCCACGGCCTTCACACTATACTTCACCCCTAGCCCTTTCTTCGTTTTTGAGATAGGGTCTTACCACCTTGGTAAATTGTTGAGGTTGGGCTTACATTCATGATCTTCTTGCCTCAGCACCCCGCCCCCGCCCCCCACAGACCTTTGCCACAA